GCAGCTCCGGCGTCACCAGCCGCCGGCAGGTCCGCTCCAGCTCCCCGTCCAAGCCCTGCTTGAGGTTATAGCCCAGGATCCTGGCCCCGCCGTGCTGCAGCGGCCGCAGGGAAGAGTCCTTGATGTCCTTGGGGGCCACGCTGCCCGTGCCCTGCAGACAGGTCCGGGCCAGCTCCGCCTGCCGCTCCCGCAGCGCCCTCACCTCCCGCCGCAGGCGCTCCCGGCCGATGTCCCGGTCGATCCTCTCCCAGAAGGTCCTGTTAAAGTGGCTGTAGATTTCCCAGTCCAGCCTGTTCCAGGCCTTTAGCTTCTCCACGACGGAGTCCGGGAGGGGGGACTTGGTGCTGCTGTCCCTGATGTTGAGCGGGAAGGAGACGACGCTGTCCAGGTCCCAGCACAGCATCTCCTTCAGCAGCACCATGGACTCGTCAAAGTACTCGGAGATGAGCAGAAAGTTGAAGGACGCCTCGATGGCCTTCAGCATGAGCTGCACTCGCTCAGGGGACACCTCTCCGTCGGGGTTGAAGCCGAAATCGAAGGTCATGAGGTTCCTGGAGTAGTGGCGGTCGCCGCTGGTGGGGTCGTAGTAGCGGTGGGGCTGGCTGAGGAACTCCTCCAGGCTGCGGACGCGCGAGAAGGCCGACGCTCCCTTGTAGTACACGAAGGAGGACTCCATCAGCTGCACCGGGTTCCTCAGGATGGAGAAGTAGACAGCAGAGCTGGGCACCACCTTCTGCACCTGCAGAGGAGAGAAAGGAGGGTTTAAAGGTGGGGTAGGAAGAAGGGACCCACTGGCTTGCTCTGCTGGGGAGCAGAGGCACCTGCTGGGGCTGGAGGTGGGGGATGCTGGGGAGGATTTGAGGCTGCAGCTCATCAGAGGAGCTGTGGGGAGCTCCAGAAGGGAGAGCAGTGAGCAAAGCTCCTCACAGTGGGCTGCCACAGCTGTGTGGCTGGGCTGGGATGGAGATACTGCCTGTCTCCTTCCCTTTCCCCATGTCCAGCTGTCCTCAGGTAGCATCCAGAGGAGTGGATGCTGGGCACGGCTGACCTGAGCTGATGCACTTTGGATGTTCTTCTCTTGCAGCTGGTCCCCTCTGGGCCTGTCCAGGGAGCATGACATGTCCCAGAGCCCACCAGACAAGAAAGAGATGAGAGCTGGTGACTGCTACAGATGCTGTCTCCCACTTTGCCATGGCTCACAGCGCAGGGCTTCATCAAACCTGCTCACAGAAGCCCTCAGGAGATGCCAACAACGTGCCAGGTATCCATGGGCAATCCTGGCTCTCTGTAGCTCATCCCTGCAGAGTTTATGTGCTCGACAGGTGCCCCCTTCCCTGTGCCCCATGAGCCCCTCTCCCCCTTCCCCGCCCACCTGCCCATACCTCCGGCAGCAGGAATCGCATGTGGTGGCAGAGGATGTTGAAGCGCCGGGGGCTGAGTGGGGAGAAGCCCTGCACGAACCTGGCCAGGAAGTGGTGTGGGTAGTAGAGCTGGAAGCCCCCGCCCTGGGGGAAGGCGAAGGTGAGGTTGTGCGTCTCCCCAAAGCGGAACAGAATGTTCATGACGGTGCTGCTGGCACTCTTGTGGACTTTCAGGAAAACAATGTCAGTCTTGGGCTTGCACGTCTTCCCTTGAGAGGTGACCCCTCTGGCCTGCTGACCCTCTCCAGCTGTTACCTCCTTGCTCTTAAAGGCTTCTGTCCAGCTTGGGAAAAATCCTGTCCCCAGGTCTGTTTTGTAAGAACCCCCTGCCTGCAGATGTTGAGCTGAGTTTGGGATGGGCTGTGTAAATGAGGTGCCCCCCTCAGGGTGGGGAGAACCCACAGCTCGAGGCTGAGTCTGGCTCTGTACCTCCACCTGCACCATTCCAGGTGGGGACATTTCCCTCTGCTTCTCTGTGCTCAGCCTGTTTGCAAAGATGATGAACTTGCTGGTGACAGCTTCTGCCAAAACTGTGGTCACTCTCCCGGAAAGGCTTGGAGAAGGGCTTTCTCTGGCTGCTTTTTCCAGGCCAGGAAGCTGGGGTTTCAGCGCCGTGGGTGCCAGATGGGCTTTCATCTTCCCGCTGCTCTCTTCAGGCTGCTGCGTCCAGTACTTCTCTGGGCTGCTTTCCAGAGGGGTCTCTGGTCTGAAGTACAGATGCATCCTGAAAGCATCCTCAGTCGAAGCAGGGGCTGGCTTGGCTTCCCTCTGCCCTTGAGGGGAGTCAGCCTCCCACAGCAGGTCAGGGCTGTGGAGGGCAGAGCCGAGCCCGTGGCCCGTGGTCTGCTGCAGGCCACGCTCCAGCTCACACTGGCAGCTCCTGTGACAGGGAGGACACAATGCTCAGCTGCTGGAGATGGGAGGACAGTGCAGAGGCAGCTTCTCTGCAGCCCAATGAACCCCCTCACCCCCCAAAGTCACCCTAAAACGTGTTTTCCTCTTTTCTTGGGGTGGGTGGCATTGCAGATGGATGTAGGGGCTTTGCTGCTGCCCTGGAGGGTGGGAGTAGGTGCAAGAACTTGGGCTTAATCATCTTGGAGGTCCTTTACAACCTTAATGATACTAAGAAGAAGAGAAGGACAGGTCAGCAGTGAGATGACAGTGTCTCTGCTATAGCATGTGTCTCTGCTGTAGCATGACAGGGTGGTGGATGGGGCAGAGCAAGAGGAGGCAAGGAGAAAGAAGAGCTTTTGGTCTGGAGAAACTGCAGGAACGATTGCAGATAACCCCAGACTGGGAGGACTGGGCTCAAGGGCAGTAGGGTTTTGTGGTGAGCCAGGACAAAGCCCAAAGCAGCCTTGTCTGACCCCAGGGTGGGCTCAGTTCTGGGCACAAGGGTGAGATATGGGACCCCCAGAGAGTCCTCTCTCACCTGGGTTTTCCTCCCTGTCTAAGGAAGACCCTGCTGGGTGTTTTTCGGGAGGGTGGCTCTGAGCCCACCTCAGTGGCCAGAGAAAGGCTGGAGCCCAAGGTGCAGGTTTATAATTCTGCTCAGGACCTACCCAGGAGGCTGCAGCTTCTCCACAACCTGAAGTGTGACCAGGAGGAGGATGAGGAGGCTGAAGGAGATCCAGAGCCGACCTGGCTGGCACCTGTAGATTGCGCTCAGCTTCCTGTAAGGAAACAGACATTTGAGACCATTTGTGGGGAGAAAAAGCCAAGACCAGTGATGTGTGTGAGGCAGGTGGGAAAGGAGCCTTGAGGCTTTTTAGTATTTTATCTTTGTTAAGGTGAGGTCACATTTTCAGGGGCGGAAATGCTGCAGAGGCAGCGATAACTGAGGAACCTCCGAGGCTGTGCCCCAGCAGTGCAGCCTCATGGAAATTTCCAGATGAGCCACAGATATTGTGCTGAAAAGCAAACAGTGATAACCATTGAGTCCCTTGGCGGCTCGGGGACGCCTTCCTGGAGCAGCCTGAGCTTCCCCCAGGCAGCAGGAACAGGGCACTGCCTGTGTGTTCCCTGCCCTGCCTGGCCAAGAAGGATCAGGATCCTGTCTTTATCAACATGGACAATAAATCTCCTTTTTTCCCTGCTCTCCCCACTCTCTGCTGTTGGGCTGCCATCTGCACAGGCTCCAGCTGTGGCTGAAGATGTGATGCCCCCATGGGGGCCCCAGCAGTGTCTGGATTTTAGTCTGATTTTAGCCATGCCTACAACAGCAGTGTGATTTCTTCAGGCCATCAGAATCATGCTGTCAGGGTTTGGGTTGTGTATGGTGACATTAAGGTCATGGAAATGCTGCCACAGGGCTCCTTCTGTTTGTAGGGCTTGCTGCAAACCCTGGTGGAGCTTGATAGTAGCTTTAACCTTCAGTGGAATGGTTGAGGGGCTGAATTTCCTGGGAAAAAAAGGGATTTCTTTGTATTTTATTTTTTTTTCACAGAAAGGTTGTCCAGTCCCAGCAGATGTGACACTTGGAATCATGGGTTGGTTTAGTGGTGGCCTCGGCAGTGTTGGGGTAAAGATTGTACTCAATGATCTTAGAGGGCTTTTGCAACCTGAATGATCCCATTATTCTGCTGGTTTTTCCCCAGGGAGCTCATTGTTGCATAACAGGAGATGATTTGTACTGAAGATCTGCTTAAACCCTCTGGGACTGGGCTGTGCTGTGGGGGAAGTCCAGCCTGCCAGCCCCATGGCTGCTCTCCCCTCTCAGGGAGAGAGGCCACAGGCAGCGAGGATCTAAATGGGAGGAACTAATGACAGCAGAAATCTGGACAGAGCCTGCTTGGAAGCTGCATTCCAGCAGCCAACCTGGCTTCATTGGTGTTTCTGGCTTCCTGCAGTGGTCAGCTTTGGACCATGACAGTGAGACTGGGACTGAACAGACTCGCTTGTTCCAGAGCTGCTTCATCTCCGTGGTGCTCTGTGTCCTGCTCTGGGCAGTCCTGTGACATGAGGGAGCAGAGCTCACTTGGTGAGGCAGCAGTGACACAAACGTGGGCTGTCCAAAGGGGTCACGTGCATCCCACCAGGGCAGGTCAGGAATTTAGGTTTGCTATTGAGAAACTGGATTTGTTCCAGTAGAATCAACTGATTAAGTAGCAGTTTGATAATGACAGCACTGCTTGCAGTGGTCAGACACTCATGGACACGGTTCTGGCCTGCTCCCAGTAATGTCCCTTCACTGAGCTGAAACTCTCAGCTCCTCCCAGGAGGATTTCAGTGTCTAAAGTAAAAGACTGGAAAGGCTGGGAGGTCTAAGGCCACAGCAGTGCTACTGAGGATTCCAAAGGTGTCATTATTGCATGTAATTACTGTCCATCAGCATCACAGCATGCCCAGTCCCAATGGCAAACCCGGCAGTATCCATGCTCTTTGCCACTTGAGGAGCAGACTGCCAAGCTCAGATGAGACAGGAGGTGCCAAATGCACGTGTGGGTCACTGCCTGGCCATGCCAGTAGCACAAAGAGACTCTTGGGAGGTCAGAAATAAACAGATGTGACAAAAACCAGAGCAGAAAAATGCCAAATGCTTAAACAGAGCTTAAAATGCCAAGAGGCATTTTAAAATTTTAAAGAGGGTGGGTTGGAGCAGAGACCCAAGGCTGCCCCAGAGCTGGTGAGAGGAAAGGTTTGTTGAAATAACTCCATGTGGAAGATCAGAGAGACAGAGGGAGAAGGCAGTGAGGGAGGAGCTGCTCCAGAGCGAAGTGATTCCTCTGGATCTGGCTGGAGACTCAATCCAGCTCTCCCATCACTCCAGGCAAGGCTGATCATAATTTTGTCTGGCTGATCATGGTAAGACAAGCAGCAAGAATGGAATGAAGAGCTGCACTGTGATATTTAGTGATACACACAGACTCTTGGGGGATCTGCAGGAGCACACAGTAATGGAGGCAGAGTGATGGAACACTTCCCCCCAGGCAGAGCTGGAGCAGCACCCTCTACTATTCCACATCTGTATTTGGTGCAGGTATAATTCTGAGCTTGCTTCCACAGAGGTCCCAAACTTTCAGCCTATGAGGATCTGTGAAAGATCCAGGTCCTGTGGCTCTTTTGAGGTGGCTGTTGTGTTGGTGGAACACCCAGCTGAGAACACACAGCATGTGTCGGGCTGACGTGTGTTGGGGCTGGCCAGGCTGGCACAAAGCCAGAGCCTTTCCTTCCCTCCTCGGGCCTGGCTCTCCTGGGATACATGGACATCAAGGAGGGTGTGCTGAGAAAGTGGCAGCGCTCAAATTTGTACTGAAGATGCCAAGAAGTTGCACTGAAGGCAGCAAAACACTGATTAAATGGCACATGGTGCATGAACAGCCCTAGTCTTGGAGGCTGGGGCAAGCTGGCAAGATGTAACTGAACAAGAAACCTTCAAAAGGCTCCACTGCCCTCTGTGGGTAACCCCTGCACGGCCTCCTGTCCATTTACACACTGGGATGGGATCAGGGACACGTGTCTTGGGGCAGAGTTAAACACCTGAGCACCAGGAAGGTGTCCAGGCTGCAGCTGGAGCCCTGCAGGGCAGATTGGGCTGCAAGAGCCCAACTCCTGCAAAGTCTTTGGAGATGCCTCCATCAGCAGGCAGGCTCCAGCTGAGGAGCCCCCTCAGACCAGAGCCCGTGTGCTGTCACCTCCAGCAGTGACAAACAGGGTGCAGAGCTGGATGTAGCACCCTAAAGATGCCTTTGGCTGCAAGGGCTCAGTGGAAGGGCCAGAGCAGCTGGATACCCCTATGCTGGCTCATGGAACTTAGTCCAAACCTGAACTGATGGTAGAATCTTTGCAAGGGGTGGTGCTCCAGCTGCCTCAGTGCCAGCCCCAGCAGGGAAGAAGGTGCCACTTGTTCTCAGCAGGACTGCAGAGTTCCCCTCTGTTATCCCCTCCTGCTCCAAGCAGAGCTTCCCTCTGACCCATGCCCCTTCCCTGTCCAACACAAAAACAAAAGCCCCAGCCGGGATGGGTCTGTGCCTGGAAGTTTCTGGGCCCTTAGGGTCCCAGCCAGCTGCAAGTGCTGCAGGAGGTGCTGAGGCTGAGCTCACCAGGCAGGTGAGTGGCAAAAAAAGATTTTCCTGTTTTGCTGTGCCCAGATATTCTCCTGGCAGTGAGTGAGGTTGCACAAGGAATTAATGTACACAGTACATACACAGTACAGCCACAGCCTGCTCCCTCTGACCAGCCACTGGAGACATTTTTTTGGTAGTAAATGAGAAATTGGGCAAAATGGCCAGCAGGATGCTCAGGTAGCACAGCAAGGGCACAATGGCGCTGCCTGCCTGTGTTGGTGCCCACACTACACTTGACAGCTGGGTTGGGAATAACTCTGAGCCCTCTCACCCTGCAGCTCTCCCCCAGCCAAAGAACTCTGCTGCAGAGTCAAGCCTTGCCCTTCCCTCATCCCTCCCGTCCCAATCAGAGGCTGTGGAAGAGGGCCCTCACCCTAGGATGTGAAAAACTTGCACAGAGACACATTTCTGCCTCACATCTACTCCTCTGGTGATCCCTCACTGGAACGCTGCAGGAGGGACCAGCACCTCATTGCCCTGCCAAGGTCTGTGCCATTCTCCTTCCTTTGTGGCAACAGCCTCACAAAAGATGCTGTTTTCCAGCCACCCTTGGAGCATCACCAGAAGGGAAAAATCCCCATCACCCCAGACTGCCCTGAACTGATGTGGAGCAGAAACACCTGCCCTGCCCATTCCCATCACCACCTCAACTGTTTCCCAACACAGAGGGATCTGCAAGGGCATCAGGACATCACCTCTGGGGAGGATGGAAAGAGAATTTTACTTAGGGAAATAGTATTTCACTTAAATAAATACATAAAAATATTCCACTTACGTGATCAAATACCTTCTGAATTTCAGCATGGTGAGCTGGAGCCTTGGCTGGGGAGCGGGTGGTTATCATCCGCCCGGGAGACTGGAAAGCAAACACCCGGAGCCTGGATTGTGTGCTGTGGTCACAGGCCCCTCCCTGGCGGGGGCACTGGGATGGAGATCCCGTCAGACCTTCCCACCAGTGCCCTGTGCCTGCCCCAGGGAGTGCCCAGCCTCTGAGAGGGTGAGTGGCACCGTCACCCCTGCCACGTCACACAGAGCCTTGGGCGGGCTGTCCACCCATGCCAGTGTCCCTGCCTCACTCCTCGGTTTCACCCTTGGCTGTTGGTGTTCTCTTTTTTTTCCTTTCTTATGTCCTGATTTTGCCTCTTGACAAAGCTGAGGGCAGAGATGGTTGTGATTGCTGAGCTCTTGGTGATCCTGATATCTCCAGGTCAGCGCTGCTAAGACTCTGCGATGGCTGGGTCGCTCCTACGTGGCAGGGACCTTGTCCTCTCCGATGCACCACGGCTCCATCCATGCTGGGCTGGGGCTATGGCAGCCCCCAGCTCCCTCCTTTGCTGGCTTGTGGGGCACAGGGGGCCAGTCTGAAGATGGCACATGACAGACATCGATGTGTTAAGTGGTGTCTGGAGCAGCAAATGTGATGAGGGGAAGCAAAGTCATTAACCCCCGTGCTGGGAGTGTGCTCTGCCAGGATGAGCAGCAACAGGACAGCCCTGCCAGGAAGTCAGCTGGCTTCCAGTACCAGTGGGAAAGAGGTCACTGGGTCTGCTTCTTGCTGGCTGGTAGACAGCATAAGACAACAGGGAGGCTGCTCTCCACAATGGAGGTCCTTTGGCCACATCCTTCCCCTTCAAGGCTCACCCCAGCATCCTGCACAGCATCAGCCATGCCCTCGTGTGACGGGTCCCAGGCAGTCTGGCAGGGACTGTGTGCTTCTCCTCTTTGGGCACAGACTCCCAGGGTGGTGTGGAGGTGGAGAAGGGTGTCTGGGAGTGTCTGGGATGTGGTACACAAGGGCCAGTGGCTCAAGCTGTGTCACAAGCAGTCTGCAGGACCAGGTGTCCCATGTACCTGCTGGCCCTGGAGGAGAGGACCGTGGCCATGGGTGCTTTCCCTTAACCCATGGGGCTCAGGAAGGGCATAAGGGGTAGATAAGTCACTTCCAGCCTGGGCCTTGGCTCTCTGGAGGGACAGAGGGGCCCAGCTCCCTCCTTCCCTGTTGCCAGCAGGGAGGCAGCCATTCCCCTCACCCTGGCACAGGCAGGCGCTGCCTCTCCCCGTCCACCTCATCAAAACCACAAGTTTGCTGTGGGGCTCTCATGTTCTCCACCCATCCTGGGCTCCAGCTCTCTGCCTGGGCTGGCAGGTACCCTGGGAGTCTGGGGCTGCCTGAGAGCCATGTGAAAGCTTGCAGGGATCAAATCCTCTCTGGTGCAGGGGCTGAGGGTCAATGCTTCTCCCCTCTGCTTCCCTCTGCACAGCCATGCTCTGTGCAATCCAAGCTGGATAAGCCTGCTTGGGGTGGATGGCTGAAGGGGTCTGTGAGCATCCCCTCTGCAGGATCTCCAGGGAACATCATATTGCTGCAGGGCATGGGGCACCTTTGCTTGGGAGCATCCAGAGGCTCATCAACATGAGGGTGTCCAGACAGGCTTGATCTTGCACCTCTTTGGTTGTTTCCTCTTGCTTGATGGTCACTGGTGGGATTTGGCTCACTTGTTTCCGTAAGGACAAACCTATTAATCCATGGTGACCTCATGGAGGTCTAGTTTCCATACATAATCCTGCTCAAGATATCCTCTATCCCTGTCTGCAGCCTCTTCTTGGGCACAACTTGAGGCAAAACTCAAAAGGCAAAGTTCCTGCAGGAATGTGGTGATGGGAAGCAAGGCACGTGCTCTCCACTGCCTGTGTGCTTCCTGTGTCAGAGGCTGCATCTGAGGGACCTCAGCAACTCTCTTGGGATCCTTGTGCAACCTCACACCTGCATCCTACAAGAGGCTGTGCTGGACTGTGACCTGGGCAGGAACAGTGTCTGAGGGCTTTGGTACAGATGTCACTCCTCTGAGACTACACCTGGTGGTCTCTTCCCTCCCACAGAGGCTGGGGTTGGGGTCAGGACATGGCCAGGTAAATGCACCTTCTGTAGTTGTGTCTCTTGAGAAGCAAAGGTGCTCTTGTAGGAGGGATTGGGCACCTCCTTAGGTGGCAGCTCGTTCACTGCTGATCTCAGCAAAAGGCAGTTGAGGGGCCCCAGAGGCTCCAGTTCCGTCCTGCCCCATCCCTGTGCAGGATGGTGAGCAAGGACATGGCCTCAAGACCCACAGGACCTTGCCACTCTCGTGCAATGGATTTCCTGCTTGGCCTGTCCATGCCTAGAGCAGCTGCTGGTGAGTTTTTCCCAGAATTGCTGGACATGCTGCTCCTGGAGAGCAGCAATCTCTGGTGCAGTTGTGCCTGGGGTGGAGGCGAAGAGGAGCACATGGGAAGGTGTCTCTCTGGCAAAGAGGAAAGGAGGCCTGGGAATGTGGTTGCCCCTCCAGTGAGGAGGAGAGCAGACCTGTGAGCCAGATTTCCAAACCTGGGCTGGACCAATTGCCAGAGAAATGGGTGGTGCAAAGAAGAGCCCTAGGGTTTGTGAGGGCTTGAGTAACCTCAGTCAGCCATCTGCCTCCCTTCATCCTTTATTTTAATCAGCTTATTCCTTTTCTACTGTATGTGGATCACTCCAGCAGAACAGCCCAGCAGAGAGCTGTGTGGGGGTTTTTGTTTGGACTTGCTGAAGGCAGATTCTGTTTGCCATCAACAACGCTCCCTGCTGTGCCCCGAGGTGTGAAGAGCCAGCAAGGACCTTCTGGGCAGGAGCAGGGGAGCTTTGTTCTCCTGAGAGAGCTTGGATGGAAGCAAAGTGCTGCAGAAATGAGGAGCAGGAGAAAAGCCACTGCTCCTCCCTGGGACAATTCCTTGGCTAAGGAGGAGCCTGATCATCCTTGTGTGTGTTGGCAAAGGGAGGCAGCTGCAGCCCAGAGGGTTCAGGCAGCCAGGGAGGTGTTTTTGTTAGGAGCAGAGTCTGGGATCCTGGGGAAGATGAAACTGCTGCAGGGCTTTGCCAACTGGGGCAGTATCTGGGTATTTCCTGGGTCTGGAGTGGCAGAAGTTTCTTTAGCAGGGTGTGGAGAGTGATGGAGCTCCTGCTGGAAATGGCTCCTTGCTTCTGAAGTCAAAGCAGAACATCTGCAAAATAAACAAAAATCTCAGAAGGAGTCAATGCTGCTTACGTGAACCCGTTAGCTGGAGCAGGTAAACTGGAATGATATAGAAAAGTTATATTCAGGGTTAAAATTATCCTGGGAAGGTCCAGGAGTCAAAGTGCTACTCATGAGCTTGTGTTAGAGGGGCCTGGAAGACCTCTAGGCAGTGCTGTGACGGTGGGGCAGACTCCAAAGAACCTTGGTTGGTACAAGGAGATGAGGAACCCTTCCACAGGGCAGCATCCAGTGGAAGTCCCAGTGCCCAAGCCCAGAGTCTCCTGGCTCCACACTTGTCCCTTTGCCTCCTGCAGGTAGTCAAAGTCTGAGGAGCTGGAAGGAGGTTGTTGCCACAGGGATAAAACAGGGAGTTAATGCCTGATGTGGGGCTGGGTTCCATTCCTCCCAGCGGATGACCACAAGGACCCTGCTCACACTGCTTACACATGTTTTTCCCTCGTATTTAATTCTTTAATTTTTCTATTTATGTTGTGTTTGTGTGTTTGCATGTGCACTTTGCTTAAACAAGGATTTATCTCCATCGTTTTCTGCCAACATGTGGTCACTTTGTCATTTGTGCCCTGGCAGCCTGGAGCTTGCTGGATCTTAAAGGGGGGATGAAAAGACATGAAGACTATGTGTGCCCTCCCAGCAGGAGTCAGCTGGCAGCCCCAGATGCAGGCACAGATTGGGAAGCTGAGGTCTGGGACACTCCAGTTTCCTGGGTCTGAAGTTATTCCCACAAAACTCCCAATGGAGAGAATCTTGAGAGAAGGACGAGCTGTCCCCTCGCTGCCAGCAAACCCTTTGTGCAGCTTTTTCTGTTTGCTTTTCTGACCAGTTTCCAGACAGACCTGTTCCTTGACTGACCCATGATAATTTCTGGATGACTCTCTCTGGGGTATCCAGCACTCTGCCTTATCAGCAACGTGCAAGTTTGCTCTCCGAGTCGTTCTCCAATCTATCAGCCCGTGGGCCTCCCCTTCCGCTGCTGGGCAGCCGTGCTCCATCAGTACCCACCTAAATTGATCTCAAGTTAATTTTACACTTAGCAGGGAGAGCAAGGCATGCCCATTTCCCATTCATTCCAGCAGCTCTCCTGGACACTGAGCCTGCCCTGCAGTGGCCATGCCCAGCTCTCAGAAAGGATGCTCAGGGAGAAAATTCATCCAGCTGGGAATTTGGGAGCAAAGCGTGGTGGGAGCTGAGTGCAGGATCGGTGCTGTGGCTGCTGGGCTGTGTGGGACCTCACTGTCCTGGGTACCTTCTCCCAGAGACAAGGCAGGGGCTGTGCCAGCACTGGGCAGAGCTCCTCTTGGCTGGGAAGGCTGAGGAGCAGCTGGATAAGCATGGATTTAGGCAAGGAGTATGCTGTTGCTCTGGCTGTATGGTTTTGGCTGGAGTTGGGGACTTTGGCCCTAATCGTACTTTTGTTTGTTCTTTAATCTCAGTCACCTTATCAGAAGCCTTTGAACAACCAAACACATCTCTGCTCACCTAAGAGAACAGGCTTTGCTGTTTCTTTTTGGTTGATTTTGTTTGCTTGCCAGAGACCTCCAGGAGATTAAGTGATCCCTCACAAACCTGGGCTTTGCCCTGAAGCCTCTGGAGGCTGCAGCACTTGGGTGCTGAAAGACATCTATATTTTAGGGTGACTGGCATTGGACCAGATTCCTCAGGGCCTTGTAGGATCCAGGATCTGAACCATTCCTGAGACTATCCATGCTGTCTTCATCAAATGCATCAGGTTACATGTTACTGGGAGGACTTGCTGGTCTGTTTGCAGAAGAAGAAATCAAAGTGGGCATCCCAACCATGGGGTGCCATGGGCTCTCCTCAGCAGAGGAGGGATGAGCCTCCCCTTGTCTAGTTTTGGGCTGTTCAGAACAACAGAGACCTGAAGCACCCAAAATGGGTCCAATGGAGGATGACAAAAATGCTGAAGGGCCTGGAGCATCTCTGTGCCCAGGAAAGGCCGAGGGAGCTGGGGCTGCTCAGCCTCGAGAGGAGCCCCAGCTGAGAGGGGCCCTCAGCCCTGGGTGTCCCTGTGAGCAGGGAGGGCTCCGAGCAGGGACCAGGAGGAACGGGCAGGAACTGACCCCAGCAAGTTCCACCTGGACACGAGGAAGAACTTTCTGGGTAGTGCCTGAGCCCTGGACAGATCCCAGAGAGGGTGTGGAGTCCCCCTCACTGGAGATATTCCAGAGCTGTCTGGACACACTGTGTGCCATGAGCTCTGAGCTGACCCTGCTGGAGCAGATGGACCCACTGTGGTTCCCTTCCAGCCTGACCCATTCTGGAATTCTGTGGGGCAGCTGCCATGGGTGAATTTCATGCAGCTTAGTTTGCTCCCACTGCCTCCTGTCCTGTCACAGGGCACTGTTGAGAGCAAACAGCCTGGTCCCCTGCCTTAGTTTCCTCCCATTAGATGTTTATACACATCTACAAAGTCCCTCCAAGAGTATTCTGCTCTGGGATGAGCAGCTCCAGCTCTCTCAGCTGCTCCTCATGTGAAGAATGCTTCAGACCCTCACCACCTTCATGGCCTTGCACTGGACTGGCTGCAGTCACTGCACCTCTCTCGTACTGGGGAGCCCAGAGCTGGACCCAGCAGTGCAGGTGCAGTCTCACAAGTACTGAGCAGAGTGGGAAAGGAGGCTGCTGGAGCCAGGGAAGCTGTGTTTGACCTAGGGATGGCCAAGGATGTCTTTAGGACTCTCCATGACCATTGGGAGCCATGTGCTGCATGTGACTGGGATGAGTGGGAAGTGTAAGTGCTGGGTCCAGCCCCACCTTTGCCTCAGCCAGTGCTTGGTGCCCCCAGCAAAACAGTGGAAATGGTTTTCAGGGGAAGCCTGGAGAGAAAAGCTGTATTGATCGAGGGAAACTGGGTGGAGCAGGTGTTTACAGAGCAAATGCCTTTTGAAACATATCAGCAGGCAAACAGGGCGGGGACCTCACGGTCTGATGCCATCTCCTATTTATGGAAAGCATGACAGGATGTCCAGATAAATGTGATGCCTCACCTGTCAGAAAAAACAACAAAACAGTGAAATCTAGGAGAGATTTTATGGTTTCTAGGAAAGTTCAGCATCTCCATGTGTGTACTGAACAGTTGCTCCTGTCACTACAAGATAGGCAGTGAGGGGCTGGAGCGTGTCCAGGGAAGAGAATGGAGTTGCAGAAGGGTCTGGAGCACCAGGAGGAGCTGGAGGAGCTCAGCCTGGAGGAAAGGAGGCTCAGGGGAGACCTCTCTCTCCACAACTCCCTGACAGGAGGGTGCAGCCAGGTGGGGGTCAGGCTCTGCTCTTGAGGAAGAAGGGACAGGATGAGAAGAAACAGCTTCAAGTTGTGCCAGGGGAGGTTCAGCTTGGATATTAGGGAAAAATTCTTCACAGAAAAGGTTGTCTAGCATTGCCAGAGCCTGCCCAAGGCAGTGGTGGAGTTCCCATCCCTGGAGGGATTTAAGAGTCATGTGGATGTGGCACCTGGGGATATGGGTTAGTGGTGGCCTTGACAGTGCTGGGGGAATGGGTGGACTCGATCCTGGAGGGTTTTTCCAGCCTTACTGATTCCTTGATTCTGTGTGTGAGTTACCCCAGCCTCATCTCACACTGAGGGGTGTTCCTGGGCTATGGAGGGAAGTTGAAGATCCTCACCTGAAGAGGATGACCAACATGGGCTGCTCTTCAGGGTCTCCAAGGGGAGCGTCCCTGCACACCTGCCCTGCTGACTGAGATGGCTTTGCAGGGTCATGACACAAACAGTTTGCTCTCCTGTCTCTGAGCCCCATCTCTGCACAAGCGAGCCCCTGTTCAGTCAGAGGAAGGACACTGGAGCCTCCTCCTCATATACCAAGAGCCTTAGAGCTCCCATGAGGCTGTGTCAGAACTCCTGGGAATTGGAGTCCCATCAACAAATGGAGTAGTGCTGGTGTCCGTGAAGGACTTGGAGATAGAAGAACACCCACCAAGGAAATGGAAAAACAGTGCCTGGCAAACTATTATCCAGAGATCTGGGAGTCTTGGGTGGGCTGGAAAACCTGTGTATGTCAAAGGAAAGATGTAAAACATCAGGACAAACCAGCAGGGCATAAGCAATTCAGGATGTTCCTTACTATGTTGATGAAAATGTTTTTCTCCAAGGAACACAGAGGTGCTGTGCTGGATTTTGTTCTCACCAGCAAGGAGGACCTGACTGGGAATGTGAAGCTCCAGGGCAGCTCGAGTGCCATGACCATGAAAGGTTCAAAATCCTTAGGGCAACAAGAAGGTCACTGAGCAAACTCCCAGTCTTGGGCTTCAGGAGAGCAGATTTTGGTCTCTTCAGGGAAGTGCTTGTTAAAGAACCATGGGGTTCTTACCCTGTAGGTAAAAGGGGCCCAAGAAAGCTGGTTGATATTCAAGGATCACTTCTTCCAAGCTCAGAAGTGATGAATCCCAAGAAAGAAGAATCCCAGAATGGTTTGGGTGGGAAGGGACCTTAAAGCTCATCTTGCTTCACCCCCTGTCACAGACACAGCACCAAGTGTGGGTCCAAGGCAGGGCTTCTGCTGAAAGCCGTGCTAGGGCTGGATCTGCCTCTGGGTACCAGAAAACTGCTCACAAACCTCCTGCTTCCTGTTCCTCTGGAGAGGTGTGAAGGGCAGAAAGGGCCACTTTCATTCCTGGCATGGCCCGGGGCCTCCAACTGGAGGGTGCTGCTGCTGGGAAGTACCAAAGAGCCACCTCCTGCTTGCCAGGGTTTTCCCACCTACACCTCCATGAGATTTCCCTCTGTCTCCAGGGCAGAAGGCACCGTGAGGCTGTGGTCGCCCTGAGAAGCCTCACCCCATGCTTGGCTGCCATGGTTGGGTCAGACACAGCCCCCAACACTCGACACCAATGTTTGAGAGCTATTCCTGGGAAACAAGGTCTGCCAAGGCAGCAGGGAGGGGTGGGCAGAAGCTCAGTCCCAATTCCAGGAGCTCTGAAGCCACCCATGGAAGGGGGTGGAGCAGGGTGTCAGCAAGGGTCTGGCACCCTTTGGGATGCACAGCCACCACAGAGCTCCTGGGGGTGCCCCAGAATGGGGAAGAGCTCTGGGCTTCTTCAGAGGAGACCTGCTGAATATGAGGCTTGTCCCAGTTGGGGCTCTCTTGTCCTGGGGAGCCCAGCGCTGGATTGACAACATTCCAGGTGTGGCCTCCTCAGTGCTGATCCCCTCCTTGATCTGCTGCCAATCTCCAGTGCATCAGCCACATGATCCCTGCACACAGCAACCTTCACAGGGGGAATTAGAAACATCAGGAGTAGCTCCATCCCAGGCTATGGGAGGCAGCCCCTGGGATGAGGATGCTGAAGGCCAGGAGGAGCTCAGGATGAGAGCAGAGGACACAGTGCCTGTGTCAGGGACACTGGGTGCTGCCCTGGCAGCATGGCATGGCCTCTGCTTGTCCCCAGGGCACGGCCACGTTCCACCCGGGCAGGGCCTGGCTCCCAGCAGGTCTCTGCTGCCCTGGCTCAGCAGAGAAGGACAGAGCCAGTCACAAGTGAGGGCTCAGGAAGAGGAACTTGCTTGCAGGGATCCCCATCCCTGATGGCTTTGGAGGCACCAGCCCTTAGTGCTGGGTGCGGGGCCAGTGGAAGTGCTCAGGGAAGCCCAAATGAATTTACTGGTCCCAGTGCCAGGGCAGGAGGGACACTGGAGCCTGGTGCAGCCCAGCAGGGGAAAGGCAGCTCAGAAGGCTTTAGCACCAGCTGGCCCTGGACGTTGCTGGCTCTCAAAGCTTCCCACAGCTTTCCCTGGGCCTTTGGCTGGCCCCCTTCAGGCCAGCGCTCACAGGAAAGCCCAGGGCACAAGCAGGACCCCTATCGNGCTTCTCCTCCGACATGGCGGGGGGGTCGCAGGGCCTCCGCGCTGGGGGCGTGGCTAACGGCCACGGGGCGTGGCGGGGCCGCGTGCAGGCGGGTCCCCGCTGAGCCGCACGGGGGCGCTGTGCTCCGGCGCGGGGGCCGGCGTGAGGGGAGAGCACGGGTCACTCCAGAACAGCCCCCGGGCAACCCGCGACACCTGTCCTGGACACCCCGGAACAGCCCCTGGACACCCCGGGACCCCTCCTCTGGACACGCCGGGACACCCTCGGGACCGCACCTTCCTGGTCGCACGGCAGTTCCTGCGTGAGGGGAAACGAGGGACGAGAAGCCTTCCCTCAAAGCACAGCCCGCCCAGTCCAGACCGGTGCTGGGGTGTCCGGATCCTCTTAAGGGGAGGAGAGGCAAGTTTGCCTCGATCCACAGCTGAGGAAATTATTAGATTCTAAACATACCCAAAAGTGAGATTAAAACACAAACGAGGTTAAATTTTGGGATCCAAAGCGATATTTAATTATTTGATTTCTCATTAAAGAGAAAGTAAAGAAGATAAAGAAGTGGGAAAAGGCCAAGAATACTTATGTGAAGCACAGGGGAATGAGTTACCACCACCATGGGTCCAGTGCTGGTTTATAGAGTGCAGGGTTAATAAACAGGGTTTATTTTCCAAAATACAGCAGGAACTAAAGTTTTTGTTAGAGGCAGAGTAACACTTTAATTTTCAAATTTGACTCTTCAAAGAGGCAATGAAGAAAAATATTCCTTACTTTTTACTCATTCACTACACGGGGGCAGGTGACAGCAGGACGGGAGGTTAGTGCTGACGGAGATGTCCCTGCAAGGGAGAGGCAGAACGGGTTCTGGGCTTCTTTAGAGGAAACTCCCTAAATATGAAGTCCATCCCTGCTGAGTCCACTTCTCCCACAGGCAGTGCCCTTGAGCCGGTGGCCAAGGCTGCCTCCTCCAGCCTGGGGGTGTTGTGGGGCCAGGAGAGGGGAGGAGGAGGTTCTGCCCCAAAACCTCCATCTCAGCCTGGCCGTGAGGAAAGCAGATACTGGTCCCTTCAGAATATGCTCAGTTTTAAAGGATTTTCCCTTTTCCACTCCCTTTCCTGGCTATGCCC